ATTATGATGCCCCTCTGGCGTCATACAGAGGGAGAATATCAAGGGACACAACCGGAAGGAAAAGGGATGATACGGAGGGTACACATTTTTACGCAAAGACAGAACATAGTGACTAGTATATGCAGATTCAGATGAGAGCATTGTTCATTTTGCATGAGAATGCTCCCCCCAAAATTACACGATTGTTCATGACGTGTTTTATCTATGCATATATAGAGGGAGTAACATATTGTTGAATCTGAACTGGTATAATATGACTTCTAATTTCATATTAAATTTTAATTGTATATTGCATACAATTGAAAGGGCACCTATAGCGTTTAAATGTGTTCACGCCTCTCTGTGGAAAGTGCTATAAGTGCAATGGAGCAGAGATATGCAAATGCCATGGGGTACTATATACCTTTTATAATAAGGGCAAAGAACAATACAGGAGCGAATGATGGCGAAACGATTGATATCAAGGGACTATTAGGTCAAATGGAAGGAATGATGAACAAGATTATAGAGGAAACCACTCGCTTAATAAAGAGAAGAACCAAAGGAACAACCCGCTAAGTACGTGCTTCAGAAATAGCGTGTGCCGCACAAGGAAACAGAGGGTATAAGACAAACAGCATCCAAAAGAGGATGAGAACCAATCGAAAAACCTAAGGAGGCAAGAGAAGATTCTTCTGACAAGAGAGACGGAAAAACCACAGAAGCCTGAAACAGTAATCGGCGGGTACTATCCCACTGGAGTGATAATATAATGTATCCACGAGCGCCAGTGAAATTCCTAATGAACAGGCTGTCTCAGAGAAGAACAGACCAATATAAGATAAGAGGAGAAGATTAGATTCACCTTGGTTGATACGGGCCCCCCCGGAGTCATATAAAAAAAGGAGATGCAAATCCCTTGTAATTCGCCAAACCATAGAAGAGTCACTAAGGAAAAGGGAGTACAAAGGGGGCGGAGAAAGTGAGTAGTCCCTGAATAATACAAATCCCAAAGGATTAGGAGGGGGGCTTGCCTAAAGCTCCCTCAAAAGTAAAGAATACCTGAATACCGTACTTCCCCTTCCAGAAGCACGAGTTCACTAATCGGAGAAGCAGATGACAACTCCCTACTTAAAATACACCGTGCCTACTGTCTGAGGTAGCGACCAAAAGGAGAAGATCTAAAAGTAGAGAGGACCAGGTAAAAAATGCTAAACAGGAGACTACCGCCCGTCAGGGCAGGGAAGAGTAGTTGTACCAGAGAAGATGAATCAAATTCCTAGAGGTAAGATTGAAATCCGTAATGAAGACAGGAAAAATCCCTTAAGGGAGTAGGAGCTGGGAATCTTCCGTGCACCTCATTAGAGAAGATGTCGAGAATACAAGTCATAGTTCTGAAGGACGAAGAGATCACAATAATACCCTAAAGAATAAAGAAGTAACCAAAGGAATCCCAGGAACTCGACGAAAGCTTCTCGGCGAAACTATAGGAGTATGAAATAATGATAACTCCTGAAGGAAGAAAGGAGAAGAATAAAAAAAATCGAAACATTAAGACGAAACAGAAAAAAATGACTAACGAATATAGAGGTGTCAGGCTCCGCAGATGACATCTGATCAAGTTATTCTAATTTGAAATCGCAAAAAGTCAAGTCAGTTAATTCCGCAAGCCAAAGATCAGCAACAGTTGCCCTAACTCCTCAGACAATGTTCCAAGAAGACTACGAATGGAGCTATAAGAAGGGAAAAACTAGAACAAATTGAGTCACACCCTTCGAAGTGATAAAAGAAAAGAGAAGGAATTATAATATTAGGGGATAAACAACATTAGTCGAAAAGATAAGGAGGACTAGTCACAACTATGCATGACACCTGTAATCGGTAACCATGACGTCAAAACTGGGGGGATAAATTTCTCTTCTACCGCAAGGGCCACCGAGCAAATAAACCTCCTGCCGAAGGATGTCTACAGGGACTTACGAATAAGAGCCTTAAGTAGCCGCCAAAGAACGAAGAGAGGGGAAATACTCGGCCCTTTCCCCCCAGGGGATGAAACAAATTATTGCTGACCTCAAAAGAGTATCAGAAGTGACACGAAACATAGGAAGCTGACTAAAGCATGTGCAAGTACCAGAGAAGGACTAGGGAGTGAGCCCGAATAAAAGCGTCAAGAGAAACAAGCCGAAAAAGATCGTTTTTTCTTTCACCCAAAGCATAAGACAAATTAGAAAGAAAAATCGACAGGGGAAGGATCCATGGAAGTAATAGCAAAAGTGAGGGTCACCTAGAGCCGTAAAATATTACAGGGGGACTTAGCCCCTAGCAATCTCCCAGAAAGAACATTAGTCGGCGCCCATCACCCCAAATACCATGGGCGGACCTGGATTTAAAGGAGGTTGATTACGAGATTAAGAAGAAGTATCAAGAATGATAAGGTGTGGAAGATGGAAACAAGGGAGGAATACAGAAATGGAGGCTTTTAACAGAGCCATAGATAAAGGATCATGAACGAGAGCAACTACACCGCATAAAACGGAACAGTATCTCCTGAATCGCCTTGACAGCATGTCTGCCCTAGGAATGTATCGTGTAATCTAGAGAAGCATCCAATTTGGATCTAAATAGTCCTTAAATTGATTAGGAAGTTTCCTCCCAAGATATTGAACTCAAACCTTCCAACATCCTTTCTCGGATTCGAAAACTCTACTCAGAACCCAAAGAATCCAGAAGAATAACCTTCTCAATCCCACACGAGCCTCAGGGGTTCCCTAAGAGTATTATAAGTATGAAAGGAGCAGAAAAGCGAAATTTGACTGCCTGAAAGCTGTGGGACCCGTCAAAAAGTTTCCGCAACAAAGAGGAGTAAGTCTTAATGATATATTTACAAATCGACCAAGCTCCCGAATCCCGCAGCGAAGGAATTAACGTGTAAGTCGGAGCCGCTCTAAAGTAGCAAAAGTGCCTAAGGAAGTGTCCCCTCAGTAAGGGGCTGGACCAGTCTAAGTCCTTTTCATGATTACAACCATTAAGATCTGAAGTCTCAAAATTAGCCAGAATAGTATGTCCCGAAGGAGGAGTTGATTCAAAATAGGCGAAAGGGATCGAAGAAAATCTAAGTGCCTAGATAGAATTCTGAGTACCTGACGGACTATAGATAAAGGTAGAATTCTCGAAGAAACCGGGCCCCGACCGGGAGAGAAATAGGAGCCAAAGGAAGGAGGAGAAGGCTAATATAAAAGAGAAACTCTTTTTTCTCTACTAACCCGGAGCACAGCACATTGTGACATCCCAGCCAAGAAGTTCTTATGAGAGGAGTAAAATAAGTTCCTTCTCCAAACCCCAGGGAGATCGTAGGGAAGCAGCAACTCATAAGAGCGCCATAGTTCGACTGAAATAGATAAGAAAAAGAGGAGAATCAGGGAAGAAAGCATAAGAGAGGGTGTCAAGGGTCAAAGCCAATCGTCCAAGAGACCGTTTAAGAGTCGCCAGAGATGATGATGTCTTCGAAGCTACCAATAAATGAAATCAAGTTCAAAGAGTGAGATGAATTAATAGATAAGCACCCAGGAAGAAGCAATTAAAATCCTCATCTCCAGAAAAGAAGGTCAAAAAGAAAAATGAGAAGAAAGAAGAGGAGACTGAAAAGAAAAAAGAAGAAACTCGCAGGTTAGTATTTGAGTGAGGTAAGCTAAGAAAGAAGCAGTGATAAGATTTACGGCCCGACCCGGAAGAATCGAGCTCAGAAGAAACCGGAGTCTCAACTAAGCAGGAGCTGTAGGTGGTCGTGGAACCCTCGAGTACATTCGTCAAGAGATTCCTTCAAGGCCTAAGTATCTAAGAATAATAAGTGACTGAGGAAACATAAAAGGGCAAATATCAGTCGCAAACCTCAGGAAGGATAACGCCGAAGCAGACTCATCTACAGGACGTCACATGTATAAGGATAGAATTAACTTACAGATTGAGCCTTTAGTCAGTGGAGAAGATGATACAACAGCGGAGAGTAGTTCAGGGGAGTAAGTCGAGCAATTCAGATCAGGTCAGAGAAACGGACGTCCGCTTAGAATACAGTGAGCAGGGATTTCTTTCATCTAAAAGGGAAGCCTAAGAATAAGTTATAAACCCCTCCCCCAGGATAGATTTCTATTGATTAAGCATAAGAATAAGACGTATCTCTAAGTATTCCTCACAAAAGTTACTAGAGATCCTCGTATCGCCCACCAAGGAGGCTGATGTCCTTAGACGCAGCTGGACGCCAATGCCCTTTGACAAGTTTACGAATGAAGGGAGCTTACCGCCCTGAGGTTATCTCAGGAAGAAACCGGAAGTAGCTCAGAAGAATTATCACCCTCCAAAAGGGAAGAGTCAGTGGAGAAAAACTGGAAGCATCAGGAAGAAGGCAAGGGGCGGCAGCAGGCAACGATAGGGTAACCGAAGAGTCAGGACGATAGACCGAAGTTTATTCTAATTTTTGCGAATGATCTGAATAGATCCAGGAGCTGGATAGGATTCGCTGACAAAGGGGGAAGCCGGGAGTTAAGGACAAAAGATTCGAACGGAGACCTTTGTCTTAGTGAATTGGGCAAAGCAGCTGATGAGGAAGATAACAAAGAAAAGGAAGAGAAGGAATATTGAAGTAAGTCTCCCGCTCAAACGAAGGGGTTCCCAGCACAAGAATGGCCTGGATGAACACAAGAGCATCCTGAATAAGAACATATCAAAAAAATGAGGCAGATCCCCTAAAGTAGCCCCCCACCCCAGTTTTAGCTTAAGAGCCAGGTGAGGAACGAAGTAAGGAGAGCAATCGAGACACAACTCCTCTCGGGAACAATTTCTTTATCAACATAGGAAGAACGATAAAGTAGCCAAAGATAACAGGAACATCTCCGTGTATTGTGATCTATTGAGATAATTCAGCAGGAGGTTTGAGTAGGAGTCTCTCTCTGACGAGCGCATTAAGCCCGATCAAAGCAGAATAGGAATAGTCTTAAGGCAGCACTGACAACACGTCTTCTCCAACAATGTCAGTCGCGGGGGCCCAAGTAGAATGGAAATTAGACTCTTGGAGCAAGGACAGCACCAGGAAATGGGGGTATCCAGCCCCCAAGGCTAGAGGAAACCAATGTTCCAACAACACCAGATATTGTTATCCAACGAATACTGCTTCTGGGAGTACAAGGTGGGGACAAATGGATGACTGGGCAAGCAGGAAGTTATTGAATGGTTCCACTTATAAATGGGACCAACAAGGGTTCAACGACAACGCCACAACGGGTCTGCAAAGCCATAATGCCTCTGAGCACATCAGTTGGGGGGATTTTATACACAAAGTTTTGGAAAAATTAAGTGTCCTACTCGTCTCAAGCAACGCCACAACTGCGAATACCCTCCTTTGGACAAGAGAGGAGTGGCAGAGCTTTGAAGGAAAGCGAGAGGGAAAAATGGCTCCCCTGGATGAGGTTGAGTCAGGTAGGAGAATATTATTCGTGATAATGTGTATAATAACGGGATTGATTGAGGGAAGAAAGAGGAGGGACCAGATTTTTAAAAGGAGGGGACGGATGTGTAGTACAGTCGATATGGCTCTGGAATTCCCACGCAGCAAATGGCAGGTGTGGATAGAAGACGAAGATAGTAGGAAGGGGAATAAGCAAATAGCGTGTTCAAGGAACAATGGATATGACGGTTGTCAGGAGGCGTCAATAGCATTAATCTTGAGTATTTACTTTTCAATGAAGGGAGTCTGCAACGAGTGTGGGCCTTATAGATTGACTTACTGGATAAAGTCCGATTTAGATAATGAGAGAGAAGCAGGGGGGAAATATTGTTATTTTAACGGGGGAAGAGAAATTTGTAATGATGATGTCTCTACCAACCAGGAAGGAGGAATTTTAATAACAAGGGAGGGAGAATTAGACGTGCTAGATAGACCCAAAGTTGTAGAAGCTGCAGATGTGTTAAGGAGTAAAAATGAGGCCGAGGAAAAGAACAATCAGGCCGTAGTTATCTTAGCCGAAGGATCGACAAAATGCGTTGATCGACAGGATAAGGAAACAGCCTGTGGCTCCTATGACGGACATATCGGGGCCACTTTGTCAGGGGATCTTGGGGAAAATTGTGATAAGAAAACAGAAGGTGAAGATTTAACGTTAAAGGAACCCTCGAGGACCCCTATTCTCGCCAGCAGCCCGGAAGGTAATAACAGTGAGGAGAAGTTGAGGAGTTTAGTCTCAAATGGGGGAAGTTTGGAAAATTTCTTGGGGAAAGATTCAGACCAGGAACCCGGGGAGCTTACGACTTCAGAAAGTGGAGGCTGGACAAATTCACAGGGCCCAGGGCAGGAATCGGAAGGGGAGGAATCAACAGTCGGGAAATCGGCAGTCGAGGAATCAGCAAACGAAGAATCAACGGACGAGGACGCAGCAAGCGGGGGATCAGCAAGCAACGGGGATTTCGTTTCCGGATTAATGAGAAATTGGCCGTTAATGGCAGGAGTAGTTGTTGTAATATGTCTGATAGTAGGCAGTGGTTATGGTTTATGGAGAATCTTTAGGGGTGGGCCAAGGCCGAAGAGGCAAGGCAAGGATCGGCGCGCCAGGAAAAGGTATGCGGTGGCTTATAGCTGAAGCGGCCTTTAAGGATAATGATCCAAAGTAGACTGGGAAAGTGGGGAAGTGTTTAGGTTGAGGGTTTAGGGTTCAGAGTTGGGAAATGACCCATACTAATATCACCTCCTCCCCAAGACAACTTGATACCATCCTCTACACCCTTGAATCAGACCAACTTTGTGCACCTGGGTGCACTAAGGGGTTATGTCACCCTTAAGATGGCCTTCCTTCCATATGTTAGTTATCCCTCAAAGAATATGTTATGTCCTCAAGTGGGTCCAAAAACAGTCTACATTGTGTTAATATGTGTAACTTCTTCCATTTTATTAGTCTGTTTGTCTGTTAAATATTAGTGAATCCACCATTGTATCGTTGTTAGAAGACTTAGATTGTCCCAAGTGAGATAGTGGATGGACCCATTTTGTTCCCATAATTATATATGAAGAAGCGTGTTTGTCAAAAAAGGATTGATTAATGAGTCCGTATATCGGATAAACCATATTTGACGTCATCTGTGTTGGGATGTACGTTCCTTATAGGGAGTGGTACCAAAAGAGTGACCCATAGACAGCCAGGACAGGTCCGATTTCGGACTTCGAGGAGTTGTTGTTTTATCAGCTTGTTTTGCTTTGTCCGATTGGGAACAGGGGGACATCTTGTGATTTAAAACATTTCGATATAAAGCAGGGGTTACCATAATATATATATATATGCTGGTAGGATGAAACAGGGATGCTGACAAAATCGGTGGTATCCTTTCTGATGGGTTATATGATGATCACTATTTAGGGAAAGACGGACCTGCTCCGAAAACACCACATTTCTGAATGTTCCTCTTTTGTGTCAAATTTGATGAATCCCGTCACAGAAACGTATAACCGGGAAGTTCCTCTTTTTTCCATCTTACTAGGAAGTCCCTCAATTGTTTCAGTAAAACATACATTAATTGTTCTCTCATTGGAGCAATAGATATGGCAGAGAAATGGCATAACTTCTATTTACGTTGATAAATGAATGATAGGCGGTTTTGTAATTACAACTTTACGGCAGACTGATCTGATATTTAAGGAGTGGAGATCCTGGCCTTTGAGAATGCTGTGGTACTTATATCTGCTTGTTCTTTTTTTTCTTCTACTGTCGACTTATGATTTTCTCTCTAAGGATATTTTATCAATGTGTGGTTTGTGCTGGGGTTTCTTGAATGAGTCCTGCCCTTTTTCGTACCGAAGCGTCCGGATGGGGGGGAGCACTTCCTATAAATTCCATGCTTCTGTGTGTCTCATAGAACAGTGGGGCTTAATTTAGTAGGTGCACGGGAATACAGAATCCAATATGCCATGTTTATCATTAAATGAAACAAATAGACAGTGATCTTTTTCCACCTGTTGCGTATGTTTCCAGGCTGTTATGTATAACGAGTATTTAAGAGAACAAATAAGGGGACTACTCTCAGGAACCCTCTGAGAGGATTATTACAAATATAGGATTTCGCATTCCGCATTCCAACATCCCTTCCTCTTTATATGTTACGGAAAATTTATCCACCCCGACATTCAACACGAAGGGGGCATAGAAACGTAGATGAAAGATTTCGCGGCTTCCAGATATGTTCCTCAGAGGATGAGTCGCAATTGGTGAGTTGCCTTTGACATGTGTCCCGCATTCCAATTGTGCCCAACAATGGGGTTGATTATCTTCCTAATTTGTTAAATATTTCACTTACTTGATGTCCATGTCTCTAGAAGTACGTGTCCCCTTCGTCTTCCCGGTATGGGTTGTTCTCCTCTTCCTGTACTCTGTAATTATGAGAATTGTCTCAGGTCATCTCACGTTAGGGCATTCATATGAACACCATTGCAATATAACATGTAAGTATCCGCGTTATATTTTGCCTCTGAAGCTGTTCTGCTCCAGGTACGTCATTATCATCGTGCTGAGCGCCCTCGTCTTATTGTCTTTTTGTGTCTTTGTATATGAGGCCTGTAAATCTTTGTGTTTTATACTCAGCGTCTTTTTCTTCCTTGACATCCGCAAAAAGATTCTGTGTTTATCTGCTATGTTTGGGGTCGTTTCCATATTGTCGCCTTCCAAAAGCTTTCTTATGTTGCCCCTTATGTACAGCTTCACGTCTTGTGAATCCTATTGCTCTTGGTATCCATCCAGAAGCATCATGAATAGCGGTATCCAGACTTCTGTATGTACTTTTCCATCTGTAAGTACGCACAAAATTCGTGGTTATACACCTCCTGTTTTTCTTTATGGCAATTTGTTCCCGAGGGGTTATCAGTCGTCTCATATATCACATGCTCGGCTGTTTCCTTCTGGTAGACCCTTATAACTTTCTAAAAAGAACTATCTGGAATGTATTGTTTTATACGTATGGGTTGTTTTGAAAACTAATTGCTATATACACTTCCTCGCTTTTGTATCAAGTGAGTATGTGGTTCCCTGTTAAATTTATTCTTCTCCGACATTACATTTCCTTGAACACATTGTTGTTCCCTTCTGCGTCCTTTCTGTAAATTGTGGAACTAACTGTTCTATTTGAACATATCAGAGATATAGGAGTATTTATGTTCCAAACTATCCCACTGATGTTTTTGTTTGTACACATCACCACAGTTGTGTGCATGTACCCCCATTAACTTGCTCCGTCAGGTAATTTCACCTATGACGCCTTCATTTATCATAAATGTGTGCAGAAATGCTTGGAGGAAATGCTCCTTAGTCAATCTGCATTCTTCTTTTCTGATTCATCTAAAGGTTCTGTATGTATATCTAGAATCTTCTGTGGAGTATTTGTTTTTCATTTTGCATGTATACAGTTTTTGGGATGTTTTAATTACATATTAACTACTCATATTCAAGATTGCGCAATGGTACGTGGTCATTATCATAGTACATATCCTTCTTTTTTTGGCAGCCATGGTCAAACATTGCTATCTGTCTCTGTACCCTTCTTCCGGCTTTGCGCTTTCTGTGTTTCAGGGGAAACTGCTATTCTAAGGGCGTGTATTGCTCTAGGGGACAAAGTTGTCACGAGGAGTTGGTTCCGGTTCCCTGGCGTCTTCTAAATAGTGACCACAGTGCAGTAAATGATATTTTTTGCATGTGTATATATATACATATATCTATACTTCCATAAGGAAGGTTAACCTCTGTAATGGGCCCCCCAAGTGTTAAGATAATAAATAACACCTCAATAAAGGGAATGGGATCATTATATAGTGTTTGTGGGGCTACACCGCGTGTGGGGTGTCATTAGGATTGCCAGTTCCCTGTCCCAAAAGTCGTAAGCATAAGGACAAGGGGGGGAGCATCCGTAGCACTTAAGGACATTATGTACTCCCGACAGCGCAGAATTTCTTTGTGGTGGGTTGTGACAGATTTGCATAAACTGATAGGTAAAGCACAGAGGCTCGTGGATAAAATAGATTGAACCTACTAGGAAAGGGAAAAGGGGGGCGATAACCGTTGGGTAATATTCGCGACTGGGGGATCCGATGCAGCAGGCCTCCAATGTGCACGTACAATATCAGGAAATTGAATAGTTCGGACGGTAACTATACCCTCATGATCTGTAGTTATTTTACATTTATATTTTCCGTGTGTATACCCCGTGTCATTGCTTTCAACCTTTCAACACTGAGAACTGCAGTAGAAGTTGATATTGATGCATTCCTACCTGCTGCAAAATTTGATTCCTGACGGAGCTACCACGTTTCAGATGTGCACTTAAATATTTCAGAATTCTCACCGGTGCTCTGACAATTTTTCCATGGGTGACGTCCTCTCATTTGGGGTGGCGAAATTTCACGGAAGTTTTGAATAATAACCGGGGCTTTGAAATATATTGTCAAACAGAGTAACTGCTGCAAAGTCCCATTCGGATGAAGATGTATCAGTAGTTGCTATTCGTACAACATTTTTATTCGGTATAAGGATCTTTAGCGTATGCAGCCACTGTGTTCCTTTGTGCCAACGTAATGAAAGTCGCAAGAAGGATCCTTTTCATTAGGGAGTATACTGCGAGAGACTTGTGCACACTCCTGTTCTCACAGTATGCAGAAAAATCCTACCGTTCCCATTAAGGCTTGCCTTATTCTTTCGTATAAATAGTCAGGATTCAAAGAAAAACCAGAACATGTAGTAATGGTGAAATAAGTGGTCAAACAACTCTACATATTTACATAACACATGTCTCTTGGGTTTTCTTGGGGGGTGAAAGTTGTGATAAAACATTTATGAAGTAGTGTGTTAAATCACCCAGCATATTGTTTGAATGAACACGTTTGATGTTTTTGTTATTATCGTTGTACACTCCCTTACTATTATTCAGGTGGGTAGGAAATCTAGTTTTATATACCTCGCATGGAGTTCCCCGTGTCCAATGCTACGTCGATAATATCGGTTAAAGGTAAATATTCTGAACTAATAATTCTGCCTATATTACATTGTGTATTATATTGACCTTTTTGTTTTACATCATATTGTCATCCCTGATATGTTTTGCGATGATGTGTGCATATTCTGGAACATCATGTAATAAATAAATATTGTCTTATGAAAAAGAGAATTCGGACACTTCAGAGATGTCATGAACAAGTACAAATAATGGTGTTGCTATGCATATTATATCTCCTACGCCAGAAAAATACTGTTTCGGAAAAGTCTGCACTTTAGTTCGCTACGTTTTCAGATTTGGAAAAGAGCCTGCTTTTTGAATAAAATAATAACAATCAAATTATGACCATAGGTATTTTTTATAAATGCGTGTTATATTAATAAAGTGTGAAAAAGAGGCCGCTATGCCGATTAAGGTCAGTATCTTCATCATGAAGTGGGACGTAGTCTGTTCGTTACTTATCTATAAGGGAGTACATTGAAATTGAGAAGTCGTTACCAACAGAGAAAAGATAAGAAAGGAATTGTACTATTATACAGTACGTGCCATGTCATGATACGCCCTGTAGTAAGATTCCGGGGCTTCAGACACCATATATGCATTTATCGAAAAGTGTAACATATAATCTTAATTTCTACAGAGGCGCAGAATTATATATATGTACCGCATATAAGGCGACTTCATAGCCCTGGGTTAACCATCTTTTTTTCGGATAAAAGAGGATATCTATAAATTCTCCATCTCCTTCTTCTTCGGCTGCTCAGTTTCTTCTGATTAATTAGTTTCTGTTTATTGTTGATCGTGAATTGCTTCAGGCATTTCTGGAAACTATTTATGCGCGCTATAGGAGTAAACACACTTGCAATTATGCCTTATTAATAATGCAAAAGGAAAGACGTCCATTTGCGAAGAAAATGAGAAAATTGCAACAAATTAACTATAGCATATAATATGTCGTGTCATTGAACTGTATAAGGCACGTATATTATGGGATTTAATTTCGTTTGAAAAAGTGACTCCTTGTTGAAAGCATATGGGTGCTTCCTTATTTCTGCAGCGATCGTTTGCACTGCTGAGATATTATGAGGTAGGAAAAAGTAACCTCTTGGGACGATGTTTTGAACTATGTGAATCACAGGGAATATACGCTCGTGTTCTGTATCATATAACATGTAGGAGCACAGTTAGAAATCATATGTAACATAAATTCATTTTTATATATAATTTTTGGGGAATTATATTATGGAGCTCAAGCTAAGAAAAGGTGATTGCGTAATTTTTATATTTCGTACAACATGACAAGCCCATGGTAAAGGCAGCCGTAGAATCAATGAAGTGTACAGGCGCGGCATGTTGCGGAAAAAAAATGTTTCCTCCATTTCAATTTTTCTAGAGATTTTTACAGAGAATAACGTAATGAGACATGCCAGAAAAGGAAAAAAATAGAAACGCTTTACAGTATGCCATATTTTGTTTACTACGATGTATATGTGACGATTACTTTATGTACACCTAATACTAAACTTCAGCGCAGAAAAACGATCACAGGGCAGAAATGCGTGCGAATATAGTCTCTACGGAATACTGCGTAATATGTGAGAGTCCCCCAATATGCTATCCCCATCGTGTGAATGATTCATTTCTTATTGTTCTTCACTACTTCATTACGTAATCGAATCTATCTTTGTGGACATCCGGAAGGACGAAAGGAAGAGTTATGAGTTGTATTAGAGAATTCCCCCCCCTGCGACGGAAGGGGTAACATTATGCGGTTTATGCTGTAAATAGTTTTATGTAACCTGTATTATATTCGAATGTTCAGTTGACAGTTTATATTCTTCTCATGCGCAGCGCAATTAGTTGGAGGGCCCCGCGTCCCTAGTCCACCAATTGTGGTATTGTATAACGTGTAAGGTATAGCATAATGAGGAACGTATAATTACGGTAAACCCAATTTTAGCATAGTGAATGTGGATAGAATATGTAACCGCCACAATTTTGAACAGCATAAAGGATTCCGATTAGGTGGGGGTAGTGTAAAAGGAATTATGATAGGAGATAGTTCCGTCTGATAATATAAAAGGGGTGAACATTCTTCCTTGCGATGCCTTTTATATATTGGCGCCGATTTGTATAGATACGAAGCACCATTTCTTTCCTTTTATTTCTGTCTCTTTTCCTTTACACTGAGATGACTTTGCAGCATAGTTTTCAAGAACAGAGTGCACACGCAGTTATGAACAGGTGTAAATGTCTTTATGCAAGCCAGCTGTCAATAGGCGTATATTCATTCTAAACATTGAGGTAAGCACTGACAAAGACACCATTGGGAACTCCTTAAACAACACCTGCAGGTTGCTGTTAATATCGCATAATTATGTCACCAGGCAAGGATCACAGGAAACATGTGTTTTAAACAGTTGGACAATACGACCACGTTAAAATTAGGACAGCAATTGCATGACCTGATTGGGAAAGGATACATTAATTCGCCGTTGAGACGTTAAATATTATACTCTTTACATGACACTTCGTGGACAGTACTCCGTTCCTCATGGGGAAGTACATCAAATTGGTTGCCTGATATGGAGGAAGTCAATTTTCATATTAAAAGGATACCGGCGTCCACATTTATTTATTTTAATAAAGAGGGATTTCTCGAAAAGACACA